CCGTCGCCGGCGCAGCTTGATGCTGCACTAAAGAAGGGTGTTAGTAGAAATTTTTAAAAAAAAGAAGAAGAAGAATTATGTTCTCACCCGTAAGAAGCCCAGGAACAGGCGGTGGCGGGGGTCCTCCTGTATCAGCTTTTGTGAGCGCATCCTTTTTGCTCTCCACGCCTAGCTGGCGCTTCTCCTCTGCAGGCAGCTCGGAGGTCTGGTCAAGTTCTCGCAGCTGCTGTTCAAAGTATTTGTCGAATGGATAGTTCGCGACTCTGAGCCGAGACCCTTTGAGCTGTTCCTTGTAAAGGCCCAAGAATATAGTCTTTATGTTCTCCAAAAGTTCATCGATCCAGGTCAAGTGTAGGAGGGACTGGTAGACTGCCTATCCCCGCAGAATGATTAGCATAATCTGGTCCTGCGAAATATGTCAATCTGGAAAAGAAAAGGAGAAACTTACAACGAATATCAGCCCGAAACCCTTTGCTTCAGTCCATTTCAACGTGTATTGCTCCTTGTTATACCTCCGAGCTGCGCGGTCAACACCCGAGTCTTGTAGGTGTGTCCTCTCTTCAATGAACACATCCTTGATCAAGCTGTTGATTATGTGGGTGCCGACTGGAACATAGGTCTTTGACCAGAGCACAACTCCAGAGGTTGTTATTATTTCAAAAGCGTCCAACATCTTGAATCTCTCTCTTTTCCACAGCAACAGCTTGATCTGTGATTATTTTATTTTGATGAGTTGATAACACTTCAAGCCTATCAGATAGCTTGATCACGTGGCGCTATCTTGAATATTCACTTTTTCCATTCAAGATGCCAACTCCTAGTTTAACATGAAGGAGTAAAGTAGAGACATAAAGATGAGATAGAATAATAGAATAACTGCTCTTGAAGATGTTGACTAAGTGTAAAAAAAAGAGCAAAAAGAAAGAGCAAAAAGAAAACTCCCTGACGGGGAATCGAACCCCGGTCTCCCGCGCTTGTTATTCTCTTAGAAAATTGACAAGCGGAAATCATGACCACTAGACCATCAAGGACTTGGTTGATGAAGGGCGGAAGCCAGTGAAAACTGATGAAGCAAGGCTGGAAGTAGAGAAACAACAACAGGGCATCTCGAGATATTTCAAGACTCTCACACAAGCTCCCAAGTTGTATACACACTTTGCCATGCCAGGCTTCTAACTCGTCCAGTCATCACCGTTTTCTTGCCTCTCTTACCGCTATAAACACAGCAGACAGCCGGGGAGCACTGCAATCCTTTGATCCCGGCTTCTTGCTTCAATCTTTATCAGGCCACAATGCATCGCTCTTCGTTTGCACCCCCTCCGGCCCAGTCGCCTCCCCTCCACCACCCTATCCCGCAGCATGTCTCTACAGTCCCGATGATGCGGTCGCCGCCGCCGCCAGTCTCCCAGCAGTCACAGCAGCAGCATCAGCATCAGCAGCAGCATCAACAGCATCAACAGCATGGATATAACAATCCCTATCAGCCGAACCCAGTCCAGGGCGGTGGGCAGTTTACCCCTGGGTTCGGAGGCTTCATGTCAGATCCAACGGCACAGATGGGCTTCCAGGTGGGGAAGAGCGCGGTGATGGCGGGACAGGAGTATATGGAACAGAATGTATGAGTTGGTTCATGTCTCCTTTTTGATAAGGCCAAAGGTTGGCTGCTAACCTCTTTCTCTGCAGTTGAACCGATATGTGTCGATTCCCGCGTTAAAACACTACTTCAATGTGTCCAATTCCTACGTTCTCAAGAAGATTGCTCTCGTCCTGTTTCCCTGGAGGCATAAGCCGTGGTTCCGCCAGCAAGGCCGCATGGCAGGCGCGGCGTCGGCGAGTGGCCAGATCAGCCAGGCCCAGTATACGTCGATGTACCTCCCTCCTCGCGACGATGTCAACTCGCCCGACATGTACATCCCAGCAATGGCTCTGGTCACATACATCCTTCTCTCGGCGGTACTAGCCGGTCTACGGGGCAACTTTCATCCTGAAATACTACGCTCCATAACATTCATTGCTCTGGCCGTGGTGATATTTGAGATCGTCTGTTTGAAGGTCGCCATGTATATTCTGAATATCAACAATGACTCCCAGTTGCTCGACCTGGTGGCGTACTCGGGGTATAAGTTTGTTGGTATCATCGCGACCCTGGGTGCGTCAGAGATGCTGACGCCCGGTCAAGGCACCGGGGGTTGGGTGGGCTGGACCGTATTCATATATACCTTCCTTGCCAATGCGTTCTTCCTCGTTAGTTATACCTACCCCTAAGACTAGGAGAAAGCCCAAAGTCGCTAACCTAGTACGTCCAGCTCCGCTCATTGAAATACGTTCTGCTGCCGGACTCTTCCACCGACGCAGCCATGCGCGGCGGTACCATGCCGACCGTAGCCCGATCCCAGCGCAACAGACGCACCCAGTTCCTCTTCATCTATTCGTACATGATCCAGTTTGTGTTCATGTGGATTCTCAGCCGACAGGGGCCCATCCCGTCTGCCGCTCCTCCTGTCAAGGCTCCCACGCCCGGGACTGTATCATGAATGGACATCGTAAATAAAAAGAATGCTACCTATTCGAAAAGCAAAAAGCATGTGTCGGAGGTGACTTGGGTCGGGACACAGTTATAGAGCGCTGTTAATGATAGAATGAATCTTTGTCTTATATACTAATCATAATGACATCTATTTAACTTAACTGGTGTTGAAGGTGATAGGGAGTCCCGCGGCTTAGCTAACATCAACAAAGGCGTTGTGGCAGAGTGGTCTAATGCGATTGACTAGAATTTCATTCCTCTGAAACAGATAATCAATTCCCTTCGGGGGCGACGGTTCGAATCCGTCCGACGTCGGCCTTTTCTTTTTTTGCTCTCCTTTTCTTTTTTATTTACTCTCACTTCAGACTCTACAGGGATTGATTTAGAGCTCTATTATTTTTAATTCAGCCTGGATTACAGTTGGTTGATGTTTTGGCCAGAACAATCCTCCGCGTCTTGCTTGCACGAAATGCTAAGCGAACTCAGCGATCAATGGCCATCCACGACTCACACAGCTCCTAGACAGCGTCGGAGTGGTCGGAAAATGTCGAGGATGCAGATGGAATCACTTACGATGCTTGTTCATTATGCTATTTATTCCCTGCAATAAATGATAGATCCGGTTTGCTGCACTGCAAGTTATCCTTGTGTGGATGGCATCTAACGTCATTGTGACGTCGACTGATATTGCTAGGGTTACTCCAACTCTACAATGGACCAGATGTATGGATGTCCAGTTAGATCAGGCAGATTAGACAGCAATGCTGGCTATTCTTAAGGCTTCTTCGTTGCCACTTGATGTTGGCTGATCTATACATACATTGCTGATTACCATCTTCTCATAAGTCTACTTGACACTTACCATCTTTTGATGCCAATTGTTTGATACAGATACAATAGCATCTAGTATTAACATTGCCCGTCATGTCGAAGGTCGGAGAAGGTATACGCAAGGTGCAGGAAACCCTCCAGGGCTTGTACCCTCATGACAAGAAGTTGGCAGATCTTGCAAAGGACACTACAGACATTCACGAGGCAGGCTCAATCACTACCGACCATGGAGCAAAGGTCGAAAATACAGATGAGTGGCTGAAGGCTTCTGATAGCACCAACTCTGGTCCCTTGCTGCTGGAAGATCAGATTGCTAGAGAGAAGGTCAGCTTGTCTCCCCGTTTATCCCAACTAGTATTTGTTATGGAAGCTTACAATTTAAATACTAGATTCATCGTTTTGATCACGAACGCATTCCTGAGCGTGTTGTTCATGCTCGGGGGACAGGCGCCTTTGGTCATTTCAAACTATTTGAGAGCGCCGCAGACGTGACCTCGGCGGGTGTTTTGACGGACACATCTCGGACCACGCCTGTGTTTGTCCGTTTCTCTACCGTCCAAGGAAGCAAAGGGAGTGCAGACACCGTCCGAGATGTCCGTGGGTTTGCCGTTAAGTTTTATACCGACGAGGGAAACTGGGATCTGGTTGGGAATAACATACCTGTCTTCTTCATTCAGGATGCAATTAAATTCCCTGACTTTGGTATGCAGCTCACTACTACCATAACCGTGCACGGAGTACTAACTTGGGTTTTTATATAGTCCATGCTGTCAAGCCGGAGCCCCACAACGAGGTTCCCCAAGGCCAAACAGCTCATAACAACTTTTGGGACTTTGTCTACCTCCATCCTGAGGCGACACATATGTTCATGTGGGCTATGTCTGATCGAGGAATTCCACGGTCATATCGTATGATGCAAGGATTTGGCGTCAACACCTTCGTATTGATCAACAAGGAAGGAAAACGCCACTTCGTCAAGTTCCACTGGACGCCGGAGCTTGGTGTCCATTCACTCGTCTGGGACGAAGCACTTAAAATTGCTGGGCAAGACCCCGATTTCCACAGAAAGGACTTGATGGAAGCTATTGACAATAAAGCCTATCCCAAATGGAAACTGGGAATCCAAGTAATCCCTGACGATAAGGAGCATGATTTTGAATTTGATATACTGGATGCAACCAAAATCTGGCCCGAGGACATTGTACCAGTTAGGTATATCGGTGAGATGGAGCTGAATCGTAACATTGACGAATTCTTCCCTCAAACAGAACAAGTGGCTTTCTGTACCGGCCACCTTGTTCCAGGTATTGACTTTTCAAATGACCCTCTCCTGCAAGGTCGAAACTTTTCTTACTTTGACACTCAAATCTCCCGCCTTGGAATCAACTGGGAGGAACTGCCAATCAATCGTCCAGTCTGCCCGGTGATGAACCATAACCGAGATGGACAAATGCGCCACAAGATCACTCAGGGTACAGTTAACTATTGGCCAAATAGGTTCGAAGCCTGTCCTCCTGCAAAGGTTGGAGAGGGTGGATTCCATTCCTTCCCTGAAAAAATAATGAGTATCAAACAGCGAACTCTCAGCAAGAAGTTCCGCGAGCATATCAACCAGGCTCAGTTGTTTTACAATTCGCTCTCACCATATGAAAAGCAGCATGTCCACAATGCTCTTGCCTTCGAACTGGATCACTGTGATGACCCAACTGTCTACACCCGAGTGGTCGAGCGTCTAGCTGAAATCGACCTTGGCCTCGCACAAGCTGTTGCGCCGCTTGTCGGAGCAGAAACACCAGAGATGTCTCCTCGTCCAAACAAGGGTCTGAAGTCGATCAATCTAAGCCAAGCAGAGATTAACGAGAAACATCCTCAGACTGTCGCGGGTACTCCAACTATTAAATCCCGACGTATCGCCATATTGATCGGAGATGGCTATGATCCTGTTGCATTTATCTCTGCCAAAACAGCAATCAAAGCAGCTGGCGCCCTGCCCTTCGTCATTGGAACCAAACGCCAGCCTATCTTTGCGGCACACCAGCATAAAGAGACCGACAAGGGCGTTATTCCCGACCACCAATATGACGGTATGCGGTCTACCATGTTCGACGCAACTTTTATTCCCGGAGGAGAACATATCCGTATCCTGGGCAAGATCGGCCAGATCAGATACTGGATTGCGGAATCATTCGGCCATCTTAAGGCTATCGGCGCCACTGGCGATGCAGTCAATCTGCTTGCCCAGGTATTAGGCACAGATGCTCCGCAGCTTGAGTTCGCAGATTCCTCCTCTGCCGGGGTCGTGGAAAGCTATGGTGTGGTGACTAGCTGTAAATTGCATGAACCCGATAGTTTGACTGAAGGTATCAAGATCTTCAAGGAGGCAACCGATTTCCTAGGAAAATTCTTCTATCAAGTTTCACTGCACAGGAATTACGGTAGGGAGCTGGATGGTCTAGCTGCCACGCTTGCTTGGTAAAATGGTTTTGGGCAAGGTTGGAAAATGCTGGTGAAGACTGATTTTGTATACGTAATGATTGAGGACAGATTGGTAAAAATAATATGAAGTACGTGATTTATTACATCAGTCCCAACCGTAAATCATTAGATTTATTAGAGATAATAACTATACTGAGTTGATAATAGCACGGAGCTGGCTCATCAATAGTGGTGTTTTGGATATATCTTACAACACTATTAAGGGGAAGTAAGAAGATGGAGGAAGCCAGTATTACGTAGATTTTGCAATATGTTTTCATGACGCAGTAGCTCCCACGCTTCAGCAGAGTGAGCGATATTTAAGTAGAGTCTACATAGAGAACTCATTAAACGTCTAGAATTCTAGAGTCGAACAAAATAGTCGCCTATGCGCCAGCTGATTCCACCAAGTTCCGGAGAGGAAGTAAAATGAGAGGCTAACAATGATAGAGCCAAGTAAGTAGACATAAGAAAGGGTATATAACTGCCTTAAAACCACCATTGTAAAAATACAACTCCTCGCTGGATAAAGGAGAGAAAAGGGTAAATGAAATCAGTGATAGACAAAATAAAAAGTGAAATAGCAATGAAAATGTATATGCGAGACCAGCAAACATAGTTATACAACCAGATAATATGGTGTTTTATACGTCGTGCTTCTTTAAGGACATAGCTCTTGGAGATGTGGAGGGATGAACAGCCTCAAGCCCACCTCCAAGTTGGTCTGTAAGTCTCGTCCGATCTTGTCTGGGGGATGTTTGATTCTCGCTGCCTCAGACCCATTTCCACAGAGGAAAGGTTTGCCTTGTTGGATTGAACAAGTAGGAGGTGGACTGCGGCATTTATGTCGACTGACTCGCCGGTATCAGTTCGCTTAAGAGCCCATTTGGCTTCCTCTTCGTCGAATCCTAGCTCGTACACCATCTTTCGCAGAGCTACATCGGCCGGATCCGGAACTACTAGGTCTTGGGTGTTGGAGCGGTATAGAGCATAATGGTTGGTAGACAGTGGCTGGCGACCTCGGGAAATCTTTTCCTCCACCGGGTGAACTGGGGGTGGCGGGGTGCGCCTTGATGAATATGATGAGTATGATGATGCTGATGAGATCGAGGGTGTGGGTTTTCTTGGGCTTGTGATAGATGATGCTGGTGTGGGAGGCGTGGGGAAGAGGTACGGTGTTCCCGATTCTGAACAGATAAATCTATGGACGACGGCCTCTGAGGCTGGAGTCGGTCGCTCATCGCAGTGAGGAATAGCATTAGCAATGCCTAAACCTGTATCAAGGGACACTTTTCTTTGGCGCAACTCGGCGGCAAACCCGGCTTGTCGTTGGCGACGAGCACTATTCTGGCTCCCGATGCTCGATTGGCTGCTTCGTTTTGATCGTGAGCTTTTTGGGGAAGCTTTGGATGATAGTTGCGATTGATTAGAGGAAGAGAGGGAGGTTGGCCTTGAAGGAAGATTCCGGCAGACTCGTGAAACAGCCTCCTTGAAGAACAGACGGCGGGGCTCGTTCTCTGATTTTGTAGGAGCTTGCCAACGAGTCCAGCCGAGTGATCTGGCACGAGCGAATTTCTGTTCTACTGGTGTAGAGGGGCCAAAGCTGATGAGTGTAAGAACAGCAGAAGGCCCTAGAGTTAGGAGATATCTAGTCCATTCCTCTGTTATGGTTGTTAGTTCCATGATCCTAATGTAGGAAGAGTGATATTAGCTTCTTACCTAGCAATGATTCTTCCTGCGCAACGTCGCCCGGGGTCACATCCTTATTGTCGAAGACACCGTATTCGCGAGCCTCCTTACACTTGCCGTGAAATGGGTCGAGTAAGGCGACGAGACAAGTCCAAACTTCGGACATATCGCATAGCTGCTCTGAGCTCAAGCCTCCATCGTTCCCCTTAGCAAAGCCTTGTGGTGGATCGAGCAGGAGGTTGCTTATGAATGGCATGGGACTGGAGATAGAAGCGGATGGTTTAGTATCAGACTCGGCAAGGACACCACCTCTGAGCCAA